GCAAAAACCCGTGACGAGGCCTTTCAGTAGTCAAGATTAGAGCTGCATCTTTATTTTTAATTCCAACCAGTAATTGTATTTACATTGTAAATTTTATTTTTAAACTTTTTTTTTTCTCCAAATGTTGTGTCTATAATCCGCTTGGTGAATCAAACTTCATAATTGTTTAAGATTATCTTCTGAGAAACAGAAGAAGAGAGAGACAGAGAGAGAGAGAGAGAGAGAGAGAAAGAAAGAGAGAGGGGCTGTGAGTCAGTTTTCAGTGCTCAGAGTGGAAGCCTCTTGACTGAAGTCGCTTCTGCTCTCAGATATGCACGCACACATCAACACCACCCCACGCACACACACGCACACACGTTTGACCAGAGAAAGGTCACATGATCCCAGTCCAGATTTGGAAGGCCGTAGAGGAAATTTCAGAGTGTGAAATGGACATGAGATTCAGAGTAAAATGATAATAGAAATGCAAAAATGGTGTGTGTGAGCATGTGAGTCCAGCTGTTGCTGTAAAAAGGAGCAGTTGAAGTAGGCGCTGTGGCATCGTAGGGAGGAAGGACTCGGCGGTGACGGTCAGGTCATCAGGTCTGCTCATCAGTAGCGTCCTTCCTGTTAAACTGCGTAGCCTCTGTGGCAGACCCATAACCCTTACACTCACCCTCACAGACAAAATGACACATTCGGACGCATCTGCACACACACACACACACACACTCACTCACTCACTCACTCACTCACTCACGCCCCACTCACACACTTTACAGTCACATCATTATCCTGACCTCAAACCAGATCTCGTGATCAGGTATCTGAGTCATTAAAGCAGTTCTGGGCCTACATTAGAAGCGTCAGTTGTAAATGGGTAATAATAAAAGGAGACAATCAGACATTTCACAGCTATAATCTGTTTTTTTTTTCTCACTGTCGGAAGATCTTTTAGTTTTTACCCCGCGCTGACGGGGGTTTTTGTGCTATAAAAACGGTCCTGATTTGAGCACGTGGTCTAAAGACCAATCGAGGGGTGAGGTTAGTGCTAATGTAAAACTACCTGTGTGAATTTTTAATTCACTCATAAAGTCCATTTCAATTTAAAATATCTTCCGAAAGGTTGTAGGCGATTGGTTCTGGTGTGTATGGAATTATTATTACAATACAAATCCCTTCGGTACCGACTTGTAATTGTTTTGGAGCCACCGTGTGTCTCTTTTTAACATGGTTTGTTGCAGTATTGTGATGCCCCCGAGTCTGCGCACGAGTCGTTTTTTTTTGACAAACAGCTTTAACAGACAACCAAGGTAACAGGTTGAACAGCGTAATTAGAAAAAAACCAAGAGATTCTAATATAGTTGTATGTTAGTTTTCAATGCCAGCCATCAAAGGCTATGGTAAAAATAATATATAATTCCCATCAGTTATAAGCATCTACCAGAAAGGTCGACTACCTGTGTGTTCTGAAGGGGGCCGTGTGCGAGTTAGGTCTGTTAGATCTCGGGGAAATTAAATTTGGACCTAACAAATTTGACAGCTCTAATGGCAAGAGGAAGAAACAGTTATTCAGTGAGGATGGTGCTAAATACCTGCAGTCTGAGAGTGTGCGCACGAAAGCTTACACATGCGTGTGGATTACCCTCTTCACACAGTGTCAGCGCCTGTGTCTCCGCTCTTTAGCTGCCGTCGCTGCCTCTCAGATCTGACCTGTGGTTAAAAAGTGAGCGGACCCCTCGCTAATGACCCGACAAAGGAGATACTGGAGGAAAAAAAAAAAAAGAAAAGAAACACAAAGAGGAGGAAAAAATCTCCTGCAACTTTAATTATGATCAAGAGCTTTTCACCAAAGCATGGAGGCGTTGTGGTTCTGTTCGCGCTCGTAAATCCAGGCCCCGGATGCTGTATATTGTGTGAAACGATTACTGTTCCCACTATTCCAGCACATATTCAACAACAACCTCTCCAGCACCTCATCTGCATAATTGGATCTTTAATGAAACCTGCCTTGTGGAACAAAACACACACACACACACACACACGCACACAAAAGGCACAGAGAAAGACAGATGGAAAAAAGGTGGGGGGTAAAATAGAGCAATAACTTAAAACTGAGTTTTTACACTTGCGTTATTTTTTTTACCTTTCTTTAAAGAAGTGACGTTTTGTGTCATTTAACTTTATATTAATAAATGAGACAGCTGTGGAATTCAGGACGTTTACGTTCTCGTTATGAAGAAGAGAGAATTTGGTGGGGTTTTGACTCGCAACAAATCCAAAGCGGGTTCTTGTCGGTTTCAAGGTGGTTGTTGGTTTTCTTGACCTTCTCTGCTCCGGTCCGGTCTGTGTCTCTCACGTCAGTGTCACTTCTACAAATAGGATGAGAAGTGAGTGTGAAAGCTGAACATTCCCAGCAGGTCTGCAGGGTTAAAGATGACAATGGTGGGATTTTCTCTGCAGCCAGAGAGGGTAGAATAAGGGAGGGTGAGCTGGGATTTTTAGATCTTTTTTTTTTTCCCCGTCAATGGACCTGTTACTCAGGGATGAGCCGGTGACTCTCTCTCTTTCTCTCTGTCGGCCTTTGGTGGTGGAGCTGATTCTGCCTCCACTGCAAATATTTGGACAAATGTCTGATCAGGAGACACTTTTTTTACCCCCTCTTTTCTTTTAAGGTGTTGATCCCTATGTCACTCCCTCCTTCTCTCTCTCTCTCTCCTTTCAGTGCGTTCGTGGTTGTGTTATTTGATAGTTTGAAGGAAGGTTTCTTTAGTTTCCGTTACATGGTTGGAAGTTTAATACTTTTAAATACTTGAGTATTGACTCTTCCAACTGTAGACATGAAAAGCTGGAGTCATTGAATCCATCATCAGCCCATCATCAGCCCATCGTCCCTGCATCACCACTCTCATCTCTTCTCTATTTTTACTCTATTAGTAGCCTCTTTTTTTTTTTCAACATTTCTAGGATCTCCTTAGTATCGTCATTCCTCTGCCT